AGTGAAAATAAAAAAACTAGGTCATGGTTACCTTTGGTTTCATAAAAATATAACTGACACTTTAATTTATGTACTAATTATTTTACATTATTATTCTCAAAATAGATGAATCCTATTATCCTTATATTATAAAAACAATGTAATATTGGGATTACAAATGTATGTTATTCTTGTTAATTGTTTTTATATATTTGTGTTAATGAATAATAAATGTATCAGAGACTGATGTTGGAACTGCCTGCAAAGTGAAGCAATCTTTTACCTAATGAAACAACATAAATGAGGTGATTGTACATTTGTGTTAAAATGTTTTCATGGTTAGTATCTGTTTTCATATTTTGTAGTTGTGTACATTGTACAGCTTTACAATTACAAACTTTTAAACAAATTCTTGGAAAAGAGAAACAGACTAAATTTAGTAAATACAAATTACATAATGCTAAGCATAAGGCATTAGAGTGTAACATGGCATCCATTGTACTGTGGCGACACATTCGCAACTGTCAGATTGGTTAGCATGGTTTTCTTGCTCTTGGATGAATGTGCTGTAATGTGTATTGTACCTTTATAATATAATAAATATATGTGCACTACAAGAATTCATACCGATGTTCCACACTGGTGACCCCGACGTGATTGATTTCCACCTACAGTCTACAGAAGAGTTTTTCCTCATACGAAGACCCTAGCATCAACATAAGCCCGCAGTAGGAACCGTCATCGGTACCCCTGGGAGTTTATTTCGTCTTTCTCGACGACAAGGCATCGTTTTCTTTTGCACCGATCCAGCGACGACATGTGCACTTATTAGTATCGTGCATACTTCGTTATGAAAGAAGAATCTTCAACAATACCGAAAATATTCTATGTGTGATGTTTCTCAGTGCTTAAAAATATAGTGAATAATTGCTGACAAAGTTTTCTGCTTTCAGTGCATCACTAAACATTTTTTGTAGTATTTGTTGGTAAAATTGTTCAAATCCTTAGCTCTTATCCTAGTATAAGCATTTAATTTGTTCTCATACATAATTACTAATGTTTCTGGTGAGTTTCTACAAATAACTTTCATTTATTTTCTTACTATATCTTTGCATTTGCATTCCTAACAAAACATTGCACTTTTTATTGCAACATATTTCATTGTAATACTATTTGATTGTGCATATTGGCAAATTAGAGGCATCTGACTGCATGTATACAGTGTGTTGAGTGCCATTATACTAATTTAGTTGGGAATACTCATACTTTTAACCGATTCATTTGTGTGTAAAAAATAGTTTAGTGCTACTATTACTTTAACATTTAAGGGTATTTTGGATGTATGTTATTTGAGAAATCCTAACATTGGAAAACTTTTAACAAAAATTGACAACAAACATTAATATTTAACATTTCACTTTTAGAATTTTAATTGTAATTTGTATGTTTATTGTGTTCTAAAAACTGCCACCATTGTAATCTTTTTATAAGTATCTTTAATTAGTAATTTTAATCTTACAATATTTGTTAACAAAATGGTTGTATATTTATTATCTAACATTTAAACTTGGTTTGGACATTCTAATTAATTTCTTAATTTGTGTTGCTTCTTATTAACTGTGTATGTTCTTAACATTTGATTGCATCTTGTGGGGTTTGTGTTGCCATACTCTTTCCACGGAATCATATTAACTTATTTTAACCTTTTTACTGCTTTCTTTATTTCTGTCATATTAATTAAGCATGTCTCATGAGGAGAAATTATCTGCTATGCAGGACGAATTAAATCGTGTGTTGGTTGAAAATAATAAACTACAACAAAAAATTAATTCCAGCGATACTATGGCAAATGTTTGCAAAGTAGCTATAAAACTTCCTCCCTTTTGGACAAATAAACCGGCAGTATGGTTTGGGCAAATAGAGGAACAATTCACAATTGCAGGTATCACTAGCGATTCAACAATGTTTGATTATGTGGTTGCACACTTAGATCAGAAGTTAGCCGGTGAAGTTGAAGACATTATTACAAAACCTCCTCCCAAAGGTCAGCGCTA